AGAGGAACATGAGAGGCTTAAAACCCGCCATGATTCCATGGCATCTACCCAGAGCTAGAAAGCAGGTGTGTTCCCAAGCATTTGGAGATGGAGTATTTGAAGTAAGATTATTATCTTTTGAGGCTGTGTAAGGAAATTCTGCAAGAAATTTCTATCTGTTCAATTAATGCTGCGTCCTCAAGGGCATCCCTGCCAGTGGGATTCATAGATGTGCTCCTTGATAGGGGCAGGCACAACTAGGAATAGAAATTGTGGCCTGGGAGGCTGCAACTACAGTAGCTAAAGGTCAGCCCAAAGTAAGTATACCTTGAACCTTAATTGATTAACCTGATAGATGAAACTGGATTCCCCAGGTTTACTAAAGCCAAAACTCGACCTGCATATATGAATTGTGCCATTGAACATACATTAACTATATAGTATAATTAGCATAATTACATATCTGGGCACATAATTGTACAGTCTAAATACTGCATTCATATTTTTCTATCTTTAGAATATACGCCAGCCACAGAAGGATTTAATCACTTTGTGAGTGCAAAATACTGAGCGTCTGATTCTCTCACTTAATGATACAAACTCTCTAATCCTGTAGCATATAAATTCTCATTGTTTACTTATACATGGAGAGGCATTTGTGTCAGAGCCCTCCAAAGGCTTGGGTTAATGCCATCAGCTCTAAGCATAGCTATCCTTGAAGCCTACTGAGACATTTTAAAAGGCAGGATGCAAACACCAGAACAATGTCTCATGAGCAAAAGATGTTGTGGGCACTGTAGCAAATGGTAAATCTCTTTCACCTCCTATATTGTAGAAAATCTCAAAGAAACTGATGTGCTTTAGGAACATTATGCACCGTGGTTTTAAGTAGTCTTTTGTGAAGACTAATTTTGATTATTGAACTCAGTAGTCCTTCTAGAACCTCTGTGACTAAAGTGTTACTGTAGTCCAGTTGACACATCATAGTATATTTGAGAGATGGAAGAATTATATTGTCATCAGACTCAAGTGGAATATTTTTGCATTTACTTCAAACTTTAAGAAATTATTAAATTTAAGTTTTTAATTTTAAAATACCTATTCCAAGGTATCTGCAATTGCTTTTACAAATGTGTATCTTGGAGATTGATTTAAGTGGTTTTTCATTTCTTGATGTTGAATGAGGTTTATTGCCATTATCTAATTACATTATGATCTCAGAATAATCTGATCTGTATTAAAAAAAAATAGTAATTCTGAGAGAGCTTATTGTGGCAACTTATAAGTTATACTTATAAGTTAAGTATATTATGTGGGCAAATAATCCCTGTTTGAAGTTTATGCTTTTCTTTATATATTCATTATCTCATTTTCAATAGAAGAAAAATACAGGATGCTGTCGTTCTGAAGGAAATGAAATGGACTTTGGGAAATTGCAACAGCTTTACCAGCTGGCCAGAGGAGGGAGTGAGGCAGCCTTTGTGGCTGGTGAGATCAATGTTTTGGCCCAAACTGAAAAGTTATAGCTATTTTGGCAATCTGCTTTTGTGCAATTAAACCTTGATTAATCCAATATTATGAACAATAGGCTATATTTTACTCTGCTTTAAATGAAGACAACCCTTATGAATCAGTAGGGATTCATAAGTATTAAAGGTAGTAAAAGTGAGGCACACCCAAGCTCACAGCTAAAAATTTCATAGTGCATTGGGGATTCCTAATTCTCTGTGTTGAAACAAATGAATTTGCATGCAGTAGGAGCTCTGTGTATTGTGGGTTGTAAATAGTGCTCCAAGAGCATTAGTGAGATTTAAAGTCAGGCACAAGTGAAAAGCGGAACAAAACCACAATTTTTTCCTCAGTTCTGTCTTAGCTTCCAGGCAGCATAAAGATAATGAGCACCTTCCATGCATATCTGCATAGCCAAGGGAGTAATGCTGGTAGAGCAGTGAGAGAAAGCTTTTAAAATTACTAATCTACTCCTTGTTCTTAATGGGTAAAAAGGAAAGCTGGTGTACTAAAATTACCATGCAATCAACTTTGTGTTTATGTCAGAATTCATTACTGCCTGTTAACACTGCTGCTATTTTATCACAATTAATAATAGGAAGGAAAAAAATTGCATTAAACAAAAATGGAAGAAGTATTATGACTATGGAAGGAAGGAGCTGACTGGGGGGAAGAATAAAAGGAAAACCAGAACTGTGTAAGGGGAAGAGCATAAAGATTCCAAAGTAATTAAATGTTATTTACTACTCTAGTATTTCCTTGGCTGTCATTCCATATATCTTTAAAGATGCAGAAAACTGAAATGATCACATATTTTTGTAACATGCAAATATTAATCTCTGTCTGTTAAAGCAGTTTTTCTGTTGTTACCTACTTGGATTCCTAGCAGTTGCCTTGCTACCTACAGTCAGTGCTGTCTGTTCAAGAGCAGAAAAAGTAGCAGAGATCTTTCCTCCAAATCTAGTAGGTGTAAGCTTGAAGCAAATTGGCTATATCTAGAGGAAGATCCCTTGTTTTCTTCTGAGGACATATGTCTAAGTGACAATGATATAAAAATGTTGCAGCGTTGACAAACTTGCTGGGAAATGGTTTATGTGTAGTAGGGCTCAAAAGCCACTTGTTACCCATAAAAGTCTGGGACAAGAGTGGTCTGAGCATCATGCTCCCAAAACAGCCTGTTGGATGGTCTCTTGTGGTTCAATGTTCCAGATGCTGTGGCTCCTGTATGAGCTGTTCTGCAGTTTGAGAGCCACCATTTACCTCCTTTATTAATTTCACCCAAGCACTTGTCATCCCCAGAGCTCCCTCTGCTTCATAATGTTTGCCGCTGTCACTGTTCCCAAGCCACTGAGCCTGTGGCCAGCATGGAGGCAGTGACAGCTGCCCTGGGAGTCTGCTGCCACTTACAAACCAGTCACTTACAAGCCATTTGGCCCTGGTAATGTCTCTGGTGGCAGCCCCCACACCTGCAGAAGGTCTGATGAAATGCTGGTATGAAATAGTATGCAAACAAGATGTGGTACTGACAATGGCTCAGTCCTATCAACTATGTTGATTTAGATAAAATTGCGGGGTTTTTTAGCAAGGCACCACTCCAAAGAAAACATTTAGGCTTTTCTTTCTTATGGTGACAGCTCCATCTTAAATGCTGAGTGTATTTTTACCTACCTTACTTTTTACCAAGAGTGTATTTTTACCTTCCTCCCTTGTAGGTGTGCTCAAAGGCTGTTTGAACTGATCACTTGATATAATTGTCTCTCTTTGGTCTGACATCAGAGAAGGAGGGTAGGAGAAAAATGGTCACATCTGCCAGTGATAAAACAAACAGATCCATTTCAGAAAAACTCCCCTGCTTTTAACATAGGCCTATGATACACAGTAAGAAGCCTGTTTTGCTTATTTAGTATTCAATCTCATAGCTCTTTAGGCTTAATTTCAAAGTGTTTATTTGCATCCTTGTTGAAATCTTTCTAATCATATCTTTTTTTTTGTTGAAATCTTCTTTTCTAATCTGATACCTAGTGCAGTTCCTCAGGATTATGGTCATTATGTTTTCCACATCTATGAAGCATTGTTAGAGCAAATGGAGAGGTGGCAGCTGTTTGCACCAGTAAGGATAATGAAATTCAGAGCACATTTACATATCCAGGTATTTCACCAACATCCACAGCACACAGCAGACCAAATTCAGCCAAGTGCAGCTTCTAGCAAGTAGCTGAGACATCCAAGAAAGTCTGTTTTAAACATGGTTGCATTCATACACCAAACATGAGCTGACTGTAATCAGAGCACAAGTGAGTGTAGATTGTTTTAGTAGCAAGGTTTGAATGTGTATAAAATATGGTAGGTCTGTAAAAGATGGCAATAAGCATTTAGAATCAATATGAGGACACTGGTAGTAAGAAAAAGCACCAGTGAAAGAAATGATGAACCTGTCCTTTTTCTAACCCTTCACCCAATTTAATTTATACAATCTGCCAGGGTCTTAGATTTAAGCCTGGACTGAAGCCCCAGATTCAGTGCTGGGATAAACTGAATTCCACAGGAGTTGTGCCCATTCATACAAACATAGAGTTTGTTCCTGCAGAATAATGGTGTGCCTTTCCACCAAAAATGTCAGTATTTTAATGCCAAGTTACTGCCCAGAGACACTTAATATTCTTGCTTCACTAGGCGTAAAACTGGCACCTCCAAGAGCTCCTCTGCTCTGGACAGTTTAATATGCCATTGCAAGATTCCAAAAAAATAAGGGACTGGCTGTCAGCATTTTGCCTGGATCATTTCCCAGCCATACAGTGCTCCCTAGCAGATGGCTGCATCCATGTCTGCTATAGCTGACAGAACCTCCTGGTTGTACCTGGCTGTGAAGCTCACAGAGCTGTGGCCATCCCGGGATGTGGCTGGGGCACTGGTGTCAGCAGGAGCCACAGAGCTGCACGGCTCTGCCTGCGTCACAGCGAGGGGATGAGGATCAGGGCTTCAGAAATAGCCCAGCAACACCGGACATTGAGACTCAATCTACTGGATCTATTTAGGTTTTGAGGTCTATTAAAAAAAAACAAAACAGATCTTTTCTCACTCAGCCCAGCCCTTCTCCTCCTACATTCTTCCCTCTTTGGCCTAAATTTCTTAGGATCAGTTTGTATGTTTGTTCTGTATAAGCAGGGTAGCTGCATCCAGGGCATTTTTGCTTGTTCAGGGCTTTCCTTCTTTCCAGTTCAAAGTTTTTCTCCTTCATTTAGCAAGTCATTTAAGGGAAGCATAAATGTAGGGTGTGCTTGCTTGCTTATTGTATGTACATGACAGAACACTTATATAATTTCTGAACATCTAGTTGCTCACTTATCCTATAGAAGATAACTGCACCTGACATTTTGCATTTCCCTGCTAGTCGGGTTTTTGAAAAAACTTTAAAGTTCATTAACATGAAAATGACAGGAGAAATTCCTGTGGTTCTTTTCCCCCTCAACTCTCTGCAGTAACAGAACATCCTGTACTGCTTTATTTTTCAGGTTGATGGCTTCCTGACACTTCTCTTTGGCCTGGCTAGCATTAATACCCTTACAGTGATCAGCGTGACACGCTATATCAAGGGCTGCCATCCTGAGAGAGGTAAGGAATAAAGACAAGTCCAATTCTGCCTTCACTCAACCTGGTGCAAATGTTTATTTCTCTCAGTCACTATTGTCAGTCAGGCAGGCTATATTAAATATAAATTAAATGCATTGAAAACCAGGACATAATACAGTCATTCATATTACAAACATGTTTTCATAGAATCTTTCAGGGTTAACTCCAGTAAGAGCCAAATTATTACAAGTGCACTTGGGTCACCATGGGTAAATTCATCCTTGTGCCAAAGATACCACAGGTACTGCTAAGCCTCTGTATTCCTCAAAACATGACTCAAATTGCTCCTAAGTTAGACATCCTTGTCTGGATCTCACTGAAAGATATTTGATCTTCTATGAGATGATGTTTGAGAAGATTCCAGTCAGGGATCAGATCAATTTTCATTCCTTTGTTGCAAGTGGCTTGCACCATCTTTCAGGCAGGAACCTATCAATGTCTGCAGGGAAAGCATATGTGAGTACATGGGATGCATCCAATGAGTTTTTCTCTTTACTAGCACGAGGAGTATTAGCTGTGATAAGAACTTCTGCAGGGAGGTAATTTTTCACAGAAAGTTCTTCTGCAGTTTGGTGCAATGATAGACTTGTTGAAGTTAACTTTCAGCACAAACTGCTGCTGGAGCTGATAGAGCTTGTCTGCGATGTAATCCTACATCTTCTATTCATTGCCTGTTAAGAAGTCATATTTAAAACCCACATTTCTCTTTTGTGAAGCTCTACCACATATCCATCTGATGGTGTGCATAATTTATGTTTGAATCTCAAGTAAATTTGAGCAAGTACCCAGTATAATGTTACAGAAATGTTGAGGAACATAAATTGGTGGATGCATAAATATTTCCCACACAAATGAAGAAATAACCACAGTGCATGGCAACAGCAGGACAGATTGAATCTTTTGTATCAAATGGCTAATACAAGCTGGGCTATTTTCCTCTTTTTAACAGGGAAAAACCTTGATGCGAGTAAGAAAATCCCCAGAATTTCAATTTATCTTGTGAATTTCTATGTAAAATACAACTGTATCCTGCAATTGACAAAATTACAAAGCATAAGTCTAACACAGAATTCGCTAATTCGACAGCACTCACAAATTCATTGTCTCCTGCTTAAAAATCATTCATTTCCACTCTTCAGTGGGAACACAGGACTGACAGATGCTTTCAAAATCAAACTTTTCTTATGAATATTCATTGTTCTATCCTAATTTTTTTTAATAGCTGTTATACTTATTGGCTGGTAGTATAGGAGTGCATTTGGATTTCAGAGATATGTTTGCCTTTCCAAGCACTATTTTCTGACCCAAGCATGCCATTGCAGGTCACTGCATCAGCAACAGCAGCATGTCGGTGGCCCTGGTCCTCATTTGGGTGGCCGCTTTCTTCTGGTCTGCAGCTCCACTGCTTGGCTGGGGCAGCTATACAGGTAACAGGTATCTCTCAGTTGTACTTGGTGCCTCTCCACTTAACAAAGATAAACCTACCTTTCTTTTTTGCTGTTTGTTATAAACCAGACCGATTATCAGTGGAGCTGAGGAAATAATTCATTGTGTGTGACATAGGTGCAGGGTGTTTCCTGCTTTGGTATCAGCTATAAAGAGATTTTTTTTTAAGATATCACATGACAGGCTTGGACCAAGTGCATATTGCCTATGGACAAACAGAGGCCAGAAATACTTGGCATGGTTAAGCAGTGAGATAAAGAAAACTATCAAAAGACATATTTCAAAAACTGTCAAGTTTAGGAAACTAGCAAAGAACACGAGTTCCAGCAAGTTAAACTTGAAACTATAATAAGACAAGCCAGAAAGATTTGGCAAAACAATTTGTTGAAAATATGAAAACTTGCATAGCAAAGGAACTCAAATGTGCTGGAAAGTTTGTCAGTCCAAGAATTAGGGTGCAAGATAAGGCCATATCAGAAAAGGAAGGTGAGGGGAAAAAAAAGGAAAAAAATTATAGTGAACACTGCAGAAATTCAGTGGCTAAGACATGTGACAGACCAGAAAATTTCTTCATGGAGGAAAGATAGAGAAATTGCCTCAATTTAAGCCTGAAAGAATTCAACAAACCAAACATCTAGGAACAAATGGTAATGATACAGAAGTCCCACCAACTGAAATCATGTGACTGACATTGTCCAGCAGTTACCTGTCTGGATCCTGTAGGCCTCTGCATTCTTTGAGAAGTCATGAAATCTATGGAGACTTACTGAAGCAACTATGTGCATATATTCTCTTATTTACTAAGTATGGAAGCTTTGAGACATATTTGGACTCTTGAAATATGGGTGTGAGAAAAGCAGCTATTCCTATGATTGGTTAAATGTTCTATCTTTCACAAACCATCTTGAACCAAGATATTTGGCTCAATAGACCTTTTGTTTGAGACAAATTCAAGCTGTTTATTAGACTGTCTGAATTTTATGTCATAATTTTGCACTCTGGACTGTCATAAACTTGGTTGCTTGTGTCTGGTAATTTTCCGTGTATCTTCTGATGATCTGTGTTCTTTTTACATTAATCCACCACCTCTTCATTTATAGGGGGACTTCTCATGTCTGGTTTTGGCCTTAAACTGGAGCCAGGGACCTTTTGGGCAACACTACTTTGCCAGGACATTCAAGTGCCTCCATGGACCCTGTTTGAATTCAATTCCTTGACAGTGGTTTTCAAGACTACTTCTAGGAGTGCTTTCCCCTACTGAGACTCACAGCAATTTCGGGTTCCTGGGCTGTCTCTAAGCTCACCTCACAGAGATGTGGGAGCCCAGCAGCAGGCACCAGCAGAGCACAGCACATCACAGCTGGCTGCCTCGGGCCTTTCACTAATACACAGTGTCTTCAGGGGCCCCCAGGACCCCACTGATTTTTAGGAAAGCCACTTGTTTTTGTCCCTGTGGAGGGGGAAAACACAGCTCTGAATTCTGACTTGCGGAAAATCTGCTGGATTTTCTTTTCCTGTCGTCTGGAGGCTGGTTTCATTTTTCAGGAAAAAGTTTTCAAAAGCAGAAACCCAGAATTAAGCCAGATTTTATGGTTATATTTTTGAATCTTGAGGTCTACTGACGAAAAAGGCAAAGGAGAGAAAAATCTATTTCTATTATAGAACACATTCAGACAGCAACATCTAGAGCTTTTGGGGATAAAATACTGAGCTCTTTTTGATGATAACCACAAAAGAGATTTTAAGCTTTTGCTCATTTAATTCCTCCTTTTAAAATCTCTTATCACCTCTGAGAAATTAAGGGATTTTTTTTTTCTTCAAAATTACCACTGGATGTAAGGGAGAGGTATGCTGCTAAATCATGTAGTATTCACCTGTATTGTATCTCCGGGACCTGTTAATACTTGACTTTCTTAATTTTGATTCTTGCTTTGCTTACTTGTAATTTGATTTTTTTGCCATAGCTGTCAGGAAAAAAAAAACCCCAAAAAAACAAAACCCAAAACCAACCAAAAAAAACCCTAAAAAAAAAACTAAAATAAAAAATACACAATTTACAATCTATAGGAAAACCTCTAAGGTTATGGAATTCAAGTTTTCTATCAGGACATCTTTGCAAACACATCAGGAGACCTAAAGAAGTAAACTGTTATTCATAAAAGTGTTCAAGCCAGAGACTACACATTATTCCCACTGCCTTTTCCTTAAGCCCCTGATCAGATAGTGTCTCGCTACTGGTGGACCCTGCAATCTGCCTGACTTTATTTTCAAGCATCTGCATCTCTGTGTTGCAGGTCTGTGTGTTTCCCTTTTATCAAAAGGTCTTATATCTTTCTAAGTATTTACATGATTTGTCTTCTCATAATCTTTATCATTAGCTGTATCAATTTAGTCTCATGGCTCTCACTGCAGTAGAAGTTCCATTACCTCAAGAAGCCTCAGTATTTTTATTTCCTGCTTAGTTATGTAAGTAGTGGCTTTACATTTGGCACATTGTCTATGGAATTCCTTGCTATGCTGTTACAGTGCTCGTCTTAGGAAGTTACTATGTAGAGTTTTATGACAAATAAGAGTACTTATCACTCAAGGATGTAAAACCTTTCTTTTTTTAAATAAAGTGCCACAGTGTCCTATCCTGAAACAACAGTTTGTGCATTATGGATTTACACTGGCAGTACAAACTCGATAGAATGATAATACACATTAAAATTTGTTACAGTCTAAATGGTCTTGAAAATTTGTTTATGTAGGAAGAAATGTCATATCTCGTTAAAACAGAAAGATCCATTCTGTAGTGCTTAACAGAAGAAAAATACAGCATTTTAACTAACAAATTAATTGCTCAACAGCAGATCAATATTCTAAAAATGCTAACCAACTTATTCTTGCTTTCCAGATCGCATGTATGGCACATGTGAGATAGACTGGGCAAAAGCCAACTTCTCTACAATCTACAAGTCCTACATCGTCTCCATTTTTATCTGCTGCTTTTTCCTGCCTGTCACAGTCATGGTCTTCTCATATGTGTCGATCATCAACACAGTCAAACTAAGCCATGCACTGACAGGACTGGGTGACCCCACAGACAGACAGAGGAGAATAGAGCGGGACGTCACCAGGGTAAGTTTGGATGTCATTTTGGGTGGGATTCATCTCAATGAAATCTGTCTTTCCAAAAATTGATCTCAACTAGAACAGAAGAGAATAGAACCAATAAAACCAATGCATTTCATTTCTTTATAACTCTAGTGACAGTCTGAAGTCAGTGAAGAATATGAAGTTCGTTTAAAATTTCTACTGCATCAATTGGTTAATATTGGTGCTATATCACATTTGAAAAATAATCTAGATATAATTGGAAATAATATAATAAGATGAGCTATACAGCACAAACCCCAAAAATATTGTTTGGCATATGCTCTTTTCTTTCAGAAGTTCTACTACTGAGCAAACTTGGAATTTAGAGTGCAGATTTCAGTTTACTCACTGTTTAGTAAAGTCTACCTGAAACGTTCTGTATTCATATAAAAATATGGGAATGTAGCTATGTTCTTTCTGTTAGATGAGGCATTTCTCAACCACAACACCATGCCAAAATTCAATATGTAGCTCCTAGGTCTTCCTGGCTGCATCAAAGCAAACCATTTGCTTGTCCCTATTCTCCTATAAGCCATACCCTCAGGGCAATCTGGACCCTTCCCTTCCAGGCAAGTGTTCAAGTTATTATTCTCAATGTTTTGCTCCCCTGATGTAGTCTTCCAAAATAGTTTTAACATTATTCTTCTTCTGTCTTTTAGGTTTCTATTGTCATTTGCACAGCCTTCATTATTGCATGGTCACCATATGCTGTCATCTCTATATGGTCTGCCTATGGTCACCCTGTGCCCAACCTTACCAGCATCCTTGCCAGTTTGTTTGCTAAGTCTGCTAGCTTCTACAATCCCATTATCTACTTTGGAATGAGCTCCAAATTTCGAAGAGACATTTTCATCTTGTTCCATTGTGCCAAGGAAGTCAAGGACCCTGTGAAACTCAAACGTTTCAAAAACCTCAAACCAAAGCAGCCACAGCCTTCTCAGAAAGAAGAGAAGTATGCACCAGAAATGCACCCTGCACCAAGCCCTGATTCCGGGGTGGGAAGCCCAACCAACACCCCACCTCCAGCAAAGAGGGAAGTGTATTTTGGTATTCTCGATACACCATCCAATAATCCCAATATTGAATGTGATAGATTGTAAGTTTTGTGGCTGCTTAATACACATACACACTCTGTGTTCAGGAAGACCCTCTACAGAGCGGTGCTTGAGTAATTTACTAATTCCCATTCCATCTGTTTCTTGCAATAGCACTGATGACTATACAACTCAAGCAAATCAGATGGTAAAGTGATATTTTCCATATATGTAGGTACAAAATGCTCCAAAGAACATTAAAATGTGGGCAGCACACCCAGTGCCAGAAGCACTTGATTTTCACATGCGTGCAGGAAAAGAAAGACTGACTTCAGGAAAGCAGGCATTAGTTAGCAAAACTAACTGATCTATTCCTATCCAAATTTTATAAATTCTCGACTACATTTCCAAATATGTCTTTTGCTCTTTAACAGTCACGGCCATAGATGATTGATTTAACTCTGTGGTACCTCACAGCTATGGCTGTAAGAGAAGACTGGCCCTGCTGAGATTGCTGTGGAGCTGCTACAGCTCCAAAGGCTGCAAGGTGCTGGAAAAATCCCTGTTCCCCCTGCAGGGTACCCAGGTGTGCCCACCATAGGGCCTCCAGGCCCCACAGGCACCTCATGGGATTGTGTCTGATCACAGGATCAGAGAATACTTTGTGTTGGAAGGAACCTTTTAGATCATCTCATTCCAACCCCCCTGCTATGGACAGAGACACCTTCCACTAGACCAGGTCACTCAGACCCCATCCAGCCTGGCCTTGAATGCTTCCATGGATGGAGCACCCACAGTTCCCTGGGCAACCTGTTGCAGTGTGAAGAATTTCAGTGAATAATTTCTTCCTAATATCTAATCTAAACCTACTGTCTTTCAGTTTAAAGTCTTTCCCCCTTGTCCTATCACTTGTAAAGAGTCCCTCTCTATCTTTCTTGTAGGCTCCCCTTTGGTACTGGAAGGCTGCTGTAAGGTTTCCCCAAAGCCTCCTCCAGACTAAAGAGCCCCAGCTCTCAGCCTGTCTTCATAGATCACCTTCATAGGCCATCTTCTGATGGCCTGTGCCTGACTCTGTGTGTCTATGCAAGGACTGGGAGTTGTAATGTATTGAAAATACTAGTCTGGTGTTTTCTAGTCACTGTAGTCTGAGCAGTGGCTTCATATTTTCCTCACTGGTTTGCAGAGCTATTTCCACCCCCACTGACCTTCCTGGTGATCAGGGCCTGGCTGTGGAATTCTGATTCAGGAAAGCTGATTTTACTGATCTGTCTCCAAATTTATTGTTTTTCTACCTTCCTCTGAAGGTGGAGCAAGAGATGTACAGGTAACGAAAACTGACTTAGGTTTTAAGAGTTCTGGTGAGGTGTGGCATCAGAGCTATTTACAAAATATAATCCAACACTTCACTTTTGCTTCTAAAGAAAGTGTTGTTACCTGCCTATGGGTAAAAAGTGACTTTTTTTAAACCAAACTTAGTAGCAATTAAAGATAATGATTTAAACAGCTATGCTGTAGGCCTAAATCAGTTGCCAGGCTACCAGATGTTACATATCCAGTTATATCACCAAGTTTATTCTACAGAATCAAAATGAGGAGGTATGTTTTCATAATTCCCCATCGTGTAAATTGACTGCATACTCAAAGACTTCTTTTAAAATGTTTCTGTGTTAGCCATGGAAATTGTGGGTTCACTTAGTGCCATTTGCAACTTAAACAAGGGAAAAAGAAGTTGGGGGGGAAGAAAAAACCAGCAACACTCTTTGCTAACCTGTGCTATTTACAAACTTTTGAAATCTTGCTGTCTGGGTGTGTTGAAATATAGTTGTTTTGCAAAAATATGCTCTTCCAGATGTGTTTCTTGGGAAAGTTTCTAAGAGAGCCCACCTCAGTTCCCCCCATTACTCTATTTGTTTTGAGAAATTCATCCGTGTTTTGAAGTTAAAAACAAATAAACAATATAAGCAACACTGGGAAACTGTGCTTTCTTTCATGGCCACAGATGTGAACTACAAGAGTATTCATTTTTGTGGAAAAATTTGAGATACGGATACTATTTCATGACCATAAATAATTAAAAGCAAATGAGTAAATATTTGCTTCCAGATAGAAGTGCATGCTGTAGCTGCAGAAATAGATGAAATTGTTTAGTGTGAAATCCTGTACCAGCTGGAAAGAGCCAGGTTGGGCTAACCAAAGCTAGCACACTGTTTTGGAAGCTTCTAAGTGTGGCACAAAATCCACCTTAGCAACCGTGATGGATTGGGACTCCTCACTGCTGAAAGTGCTTGGGTTTTGCTCCACAGAGAGGCAGCAGTGCCGTGCAGCCCCATTGCATTCCCAGAGACACCACAGCCACAGGTGTGCCTGACACCTGCCCAGAGGCACTCTGTGGCTGTAGGTGCCAGTCTGGCTTGTAATCTGTATTTCTGCTAATTTACAGCTACCTGGAGAAACTTGCAAAAATGCTGTTGATCTCCAGGATTCAGACTCAGACGTAGAAAGGTGTGGACCAGGCAGAGCATGAGACCATTTCCATGGCTGTCCCCAAACTCCAGCTGAAATCTCTAACAGTTCATACACCATTGAGCATGTATGGTGGGGTTAGACTTATGGGGGTAAGCAGTGGCAGTACAAAAAAAGCCAGAATAGGAGCAGAGCAGAGGAAAAATATAAAAGGGGGGAAACCAGATCAGCAGGGGAGGAAGAGACCAGGAGTCAAAGGATGTGTACCTGCCGAAAGATAACTAGAAACAGAGAGCACAGAAAAAGCCCTTTACTGGACCACGCAAGACCTCTCTCCTGCAAAGCCAAGAGCTAAGGCCTTTGTGGATACATGGTGATACCACAGAATTGCACAGCTGTAGAGCAGAGCAGCTGGTTTCACAGGGTGTCTTTGCAGACACCAGCCTATGCTCCAGGTTCAGCAACAGCAGGAGCACATTTGTCAAGTTAATCAGGTAAAAAAGCTTCCAGCCCTAAAACATCAGTGCCCTGTAGCTGCACCCACAACACCAGCAAGTGGCTAAAGGCAGATAAAAGGCCCAGAATCCATTACTGGAGTGCATGTAAAGAATGCACATCAGCATTTTAAGTGTGGGAATCAACACAAATCCATTTGTAAAACACTTTTCCTGTGTCCTGGATTTCCTGCCCTTGTCTCTGGTTCCTCATGTGCCCAAAAAGCTGGCCCCTGCTGCTGCATCCACAGCCTGCTGAGCCAATGCTGCCACTCAGAAAGGAGCAAAAAGCTTGGTGACTTGAGACAGGCAGTGAAGAGTAAGTATGCTGAAAAGGGGGTGAGGTTTCATGACTTTTACTTAACCAGAATGAAGTATAAACAACATAGAGAGTCCCAGAGTCAAATCACTTCTCCCCACAACCCTGCTGCTCCTCACAGCTTCAGATTTTCTTTTGCAGCTGGTGATTTTTATCAGCAGAGATGTGAGAAGGCTGTTGTCCTGACTGATATTCTGGTGGCAATGAGGCTTCTCTGGAAAACTGCAGGTTTGAATGCTCTCCATCTGAGATGGTCTTACAAGGGAGATCCTATTTCAATGTGGTTTGTATTGAATGGCTTAGTGACAGCCTGCACAAATGAGATCTACTAGTGTCCAAATGGTCTCTTGTCATGAGGTAGGAGAACAATATTTAGATCTCTCTCCCTTTGGCATAGAAATCCTGGCCTGCAGGCTCCTTCTGTCTGTCTTGATCAGCCCTGGGTTCTTCTGTGAGATTTTGTAATTGTTGGGGTTGTTTTCTTGTATGGCACACCACAACAATAGCACCATCTGGCAGAAGGTAGTAGGCCAACCAATTCTACCATTTTTGAAAGATGCTGTCAGCATTTTCTGGCTTGTTCCAGCAGGATCTGAGACAGAGATCTTATCCTAGAAGCAAGGAAGGAACCCACTCAAAATCTCCTTGCTAGCTGTTTTTTTATCCACTTCTGTAATTACTGCCTTTTTGACATTGCTAAAACACCCTGGCAAAAAGGATGTGCATAATGAAGTCACCTTGAAAAATGCTTGAAGCCCTTAAGTCACCCTTTAAATTATGCCTTTAGCTACTCTACATATTAATTTCCAAACATTTCCCAACTGTTTTGATTAGCTATTGATTAGTACACTCAGCAAGTGAATTCCTAATGGCCACATAATTCATGTGTATCAAAATCTCATCAGATCTTACTTGATTACTTCTTATTATCAATATTATTCATAATTATCAACTTATCAGTATTATACCAAAACCACTGCACTTATTAATCATGAAGTTATTAATACTCACATGTACAACCTGGCCTTGCAAGGGGGATTACCAACATCCCTGTCACTGACACAACCCTTTCACTGGGGCTACAGAGTTCAAACAATTAAGTTAATTCAGGATTACTTCTATTCAATTTCCACATTTAAAAATAGCTTTTTCTGGGCTGGGGAGAGGAAAATAATTTATGATAATCCTTTGTTTATTTATGCCAAGAAAACCTCTTGGGCCCACATTTCCCCTGCTAGCATTTTTGCCAAGCAGAAAACCCTTCAGGATGTTGGCACATTGAAATACATAAGAGCATTTCTTAATAGCTTTGACATTCCTAATGCAAACATGAATAACTTGAGTGTGTAGTTGGAGGGAGTGGGATAGCCTGCTCCAGTCCAGTCCCTGTTCTCAGTGCTGTTATGCATTTTTATCTAATGACTCATGTAAAAGTATCTGTTGTAGCAGAGACCAGAAAACAAGAAACCCTTCATCCCCCCCCTTGAGACAGTGATTTTATTACAGTGTGAACTACTCAGGCTTGCACCCCTTTGCTGGTTCTCTCTTCACCCCACAAGTTCTTCATTCTTGGCTGCACAGACTGACACATTAAGAGAGATCCAGAGTGTGCCCCTCCAAGCATGGCCTGTGGCTCAGCACTTTCCTCAGGAGGGACAGATAGAGGCAAAACCCCTTCCTGAGGACAGGGTTCAACAAGATCATTGTTCTGCTCCTACCTTGGTGAATAGTTTCCCCTCAGGCAATAACGAAAAGGGTTGGTAACACAGCCTTGGCTCTGTTTTCAAAACAGCCAGGTTTTCTTGCAATGCTGTGTTTGTCCCTCTGCCTACCTCTCAAATTGCTGAAAACATGGAGTCCAAACCTTCTCAGTAAATCAACAAATGCAGAGGGTTTTTGCAAGCACTTCAGGAACTCTGCTGACCAAAGTGAAGGTGCCTGCAGGGTAAAATGGCTCTGTATTTTGTTTTGGTCTGAAGTACCTTATTCCCATCTGCAGCAAAGACTTCCTAATCCCTTCCTGCATTGATGATGAAGGGATATGAAAAGCTATAATCTTGTGCAATGGGAAAAAATACCTCTAAAGTTCTCATGACCAGCATATATTCCTGCTGCCTGGGAGATGGGAACCAGGTGATTCCAGGTGAAGCAGGCTAAAACTGAAAACATAGTCTTCTCTTGAAGAATAGACTATGAGTACTAATGGATACAAATATCCACAGATCCTGCAAGAAGCTTTGTGCCTGGAAGACTCTTAAAGAGCTTTATATATCCAGACTCAGATTAAAATAGGTAAGTGAATTGCTTTGACTGCAGGAGAGAGCAGAAAGTTGTCATCTGGACCCAGGATTTTCTTTATAGCTTTGAATACCCACATAGGTATTTAACACATATTTCTTAAAGGACTTTCTTTTCTGGGTTGGATTATTTCTGTATCATCATAAAAGGGAAGCAAGACTGAAAATGTCTTGGTGTGCAGGAGAAGCACAAGAATAAATGTGAGATTCAAAGAATGTCCAATAGTACTAGAGTAGAACACAGATCAATAAGAAAATTACTAAATGGAATGTAATAAGTCCATTGCTAATAGAGAAAACAGGGCCACACTGAATAATAAAAATAAAAAAAGAACTACCAGCTGTCTGTGCCAATAATCATCTTCTTTGATGCTCAGTGAATGAGACAAAAGCCCTCTGGGGATAACAAACATACAGCATTTAATTATGTAATAGGATGTAACCTAGTAAAAGGAGAGTAGAAGGTCTTAAAAAAATCACTGCAATAAATGCTCTCCCTGGCTGATATTTGTCAGCCTTCTGTAGCCTTTGACACTGTACACCAACCAGCCTGGCTGCTGAAAGAACCACTGCTAGAGCAGAGCTGGGATGGTCCTGGAGGGTGCATGTGTGGCCAGAGGCGCCTCTGCTGGGTCCAGCACAAGGTCACTGCAAGCTGCCCAAGCACAAGGCACCTCTGCCTGTCACATCTGCCACAGTATCTGCAAAAAGAGTGTGAAGTCAAGAAAAATGTCTGGCAGCAGAAGTGAGAGCATGAGCACCTCTTTGTGATGTGACCTGGCAAAGCCTTATCATGTGCCAAAGACAAATTTCTGAAGGATTCATATCACATTAATGTTCATACAGTGACTTGGGAGAACTCCGGGCATATTTTGCACCACTGGTAAACTGCTGTGGGAAATGAACAACACTAACTTCTCTGAGAACAAGCTAGCCAGTCATGAAATAACATGCAGCCTGTAAAAGGATTTGAAAGGAATAGAAAGGATGAGCTTTAGCTCATCCTTTACTGATACTGTGTTACCTGACAATCCAGCCCTCAGCTTCCTTAGCTAAAAGGCAGTCAAGTACATCAGCATTATTGTGTGTCCTATCAGAATAAATCATCCCAGGAAAATGACCTGTTCAAGAATTTGAAAGATTAAGTCTTCAGGTCCAGAAATGAGACCCATATCTGCTCACAATTTGGAGGAGCTATTGCCAGACCATTCCACATAATCGGAGTCATCCACTTTGGAAAGTGGATGCACCTTATTCTTTGAAATATGGTACACATTCTTCACAAGGATGTCTAAAGAATTTTGACTTCTGAAGGAAATCAGAGCTTTTACAAGAGGTGAAGCACATGAACTCAGGAAGTCGGGG